ACTTTCATTTTAATGCTCATAGTAATATCCAAAGGTTTTAATAAAAATGCACCTCAAGTTATAAAGAAGTTAATGAAATATCTGAGCTTTAAAACCCTCTTTTGACAGCTGTAATTTGGCACCAGCTGGTGGCAGTAATTGACTCCAGTTTAAATATCAATGAGGAAGATTCTGGGCACTCTGTATGGCTAAAATTTTTAGAAAACTGGTATCAATTCCAGAAAACTCTCAATAATATGGGCTATTTACATAATCTCAATCTCAGAAAACAGAGGCAGCAGATTGATCTTGAATAATAAAAACCAACATTGCACCTTTCACTTCCTAAGTCACCAAGGCCTGCCTTCCTTTGTAACTTCTCCTTTCATTCCTGATGGAGAGGGAAGGGGAAGAAAGCAATGTACACAGCAGTATTTATGTCTAAATTTGCATTATCACAGGACATATCATTACATTGTCTTAATGAAGCAGTTTCTACTATACTATCAAATACTGTCCTTACTTTGTCTTCCAAAGAAATCATAGAAAGTGAGGTTAGATCACTAGAAAATATTACATATTATTGAGAATGAAACTAATGTCTTTAGCTAGGAAATTAATGGTGAAATATTTTGCTTCTTTTCATATAAGAAGCAAAAGATCTGGGTTAGCACCCAGGACAACTAACAATAAAGCCCACAGTTACTTTCTAATTTGGAATAATCTTATCATGGGAACCTGATTGTGTGCATACAGACACTATAAACTAGCCTGACTCCTTTCAATTAAATTTTGTATCATGGCTCCTTTTGATCTATCTTGATGAGGTTAGATTCTCAAGATTCTTAAAAGAAGCCTCAATAAATTCTATTATTCTTGGGAAAAATGTTGCAAACTTATGCACGTGGTCCCACCAGACAGAGAAACTAAGAATATCAAAGCTATAAAATCAATTTGGTGGCATATCAAATTTACTTATTATTCATTAAAATAGAATGCCATTCCAATTATTCCTCATAAAATTCAATTCTTTCTTATACAAGGTACATATCAACTTGTAATGTGTTTTCTTTATACATATAACCAAAATAAAAATGTTTTCACATTGCACCTATTCACAATTCTTTGTATTACAACTAACAAGAATGATGTAACTCCATGAAATGAATAAGGATAGATGAAATAAATACATGATTCCAGTACCTATTAACTTTACTTATATAAACACAGTATTCTAAATGTCACAATTTTAAAGCAACATTTCAAAATATGATTTGGAAAAGTAATTTTTTAAATTATAAACTTAAAATTATATTGAATAACTAAATTAGCCTGATTGACACTGAATAACATTCAATTTCTCTAGAAAAATTTGCACCTTCTAATTTAGTTTCTCTGCAAAGCTAAAGAGAGCAGCCTCCTCAAAGGTTTTATTGACTGCCCAATTTGAAGTTGTCTATACTCTGCCTGCACAGTAACAAGCTGGCACTAATAAGCCATACATAAGATACCAGTCATTAAAATACAAATTAGGCACCTTTTATGTTTATACATGTGTAAGTAAAATTAATATTGCAGGCTTAGTTGGAAATAAAATTGCTTTAGTTAACCAACCATTGCAATGCAATCAAATGAGATTTCAAATGCAACCGGAAAAGATCTGTTTGGTAGAAATAATAGGGATGATTTCATGTAGAACAATTAATTTACCAAGCTTTTTTTCTCCCACCTGCCCTTAATAAAATATTTTTCTATCATAATTGACATGATATGTCACCTTTAATACCCATAAGTTGCATGGAGACCTGAAAGACAGCTGGTAGACATAGCTTATTTACAAATATTGGTCTGAACTTGTAAATGCATGACCATATAAATCTTAAGCCATTTAGAGTGTATGCCCTTTGTTCCCTCCATTGTATATTCAGCTGGGAATTAAATGGAGCTGAGGGAGAGTCTGAATTACATGAGGCCTTTGTTGTTGCCAGCATATTAGTGCTTTGCCTTTTGTTCTTGTTGTTTATGAGATCTCTCTACATTACACAGTAGGGAATGTTAATCAACATTTTGCCTAAGTAATATTAATGAAACTTGCTCACTTGTACTTGAAGGAAGAAACAGAATATTATATTCCTTTTTGAAATGTTAATGTATCTTTTAGGAAATTATTTCTGCCTTCTAAATCATCTTAGTGTTAAATTATTAAAGGCTGGCATTAAGGAACTATTACACTGGTGCAAATAGTTAAATACCTTAAAAGATAAAAAGATTATAAAGTTTAAATGGAGGGCCTTTTAAAAGACAGTAGCATTTAACTTCAAATTAAACATTTTTAAATGTTTGATTAAAATACTGCCAATATGCAGGTGTTTTGTATACAATAAGAAGAGATTTAATGTCAATGATTTTTAATTTCCATCCACCAATTTGGACTGTGTTCTGGCCTTGAAGGATTTATTTAACTTTGCTACATCTAAAAACTACAGCACTATCTACTTTATAAGAAAAAAGAATGGGAAAAGTTTTCAGGCTTTTGTACTTGTTACACATTTGTGTCTTATGATTGGGCAATTAAAAATTGCCTATTTGTGTTCTATTCTTCAAGAAGAAAACTGTCACTATTTCATGTTCCAAGACTCTATATGAAAGGTAGGGCTACTGAAAAGACTTTATATAAGGCTGACATGGTAGGAGATAGAAAACATCAATTCTCAAAGTGCAAACTATAACAGATATGTGTCTTGTAAAAAAACATTCATAGTTGTCCAAGAAGGAATGCAGGGAAAAGAAATGGCAGAGCTCTAAAATGGACTAACTTCTTTTCCTCTTTAACAGCCTTTTTGATGTCAATCAATTTCTTCATAGGTCCCAAATAAACTGTGAAGTAACCCAGAGGGAAATTAAGAACAAAATTTGTTCAAGAATTCTCCCATAGAGCAAGCACTATTTCTTAAGAACATCTAACACTAGAGTAAACCATTTGTTTTCTATTTAACCATGTAAGATTTACTAATGGCTTTGGGGTCATTGTAGGTACAATTTGTCATCTTGCATGACTATCACAGCAGTGCTGCTAGTTTGACACAGGCACTAAGAGAATATATGATAGGGGTCAAATTTCAAGGTAAATTTATTTCATATTTTGGCATTTCACAAATAAGAATACAGCTTAAAATTTTTGGTGCATTGTAATTAAAAGGTCTTCTTTTTCTTGAAATAACTAAAATAGTAGAGTGCCTTACAATTGACAATGGCCTGAATTCAATAAAACATGTAATATGTAGCATGCATTGAAGATAGCATTGTAAGTACTGGTCACTATTACTTCTGTAAGGAGAAAAAAGTTATTGCCAAAATGATGAATTTGTGTTAATGAGCCCAATATTAAAGAGTTTACAATGCATCTGGGCAGAATCCATCTAGTTTTACATCTATCAAACTTCACAATGCTTTTACAGTGCCCCTCTGTTGGGAATAGGAAGGAAAAATAGAAAAGAATCAAAAGAATAGATTATTTTTTCCTTTTGTCTATTTGAGAAACACAATTTCAAGTTTCTTTTTCTTACATTTCAAAGTAACCAACTACAATGTAAACCCTAAAATTAGATGAGCTAAAATTGTCCTCAATATTCAAAGACCTTATTTTTTTTTTTTACTTTGACACCAAATTTTTGTTCTTTACATATGAGTGACAAATTGATCTTTATTGTCCTCACTAGGATAAACGATAGTGGAAAAGCTAGTTTTTACATGACACTAACAACAGGGACAATATGATCAAGTTACTGAAAGTCAACTCACTATGATAAACAATAGTGGAAAAGCTAGTTCTTACATGACATTAACAACATGGACAATATGATCAAGTTACAGAGAGTCAAACAATTTGACAGCAGTCAAGTAACATCAAGCAGTGTGGTAGATTGATTGGGAAATATAAATTACTGAAAAGGTAGTAAAATATGAACACTATCAGAAAAGATTTTTTTTAAATCAAGCATCGAAGATTAGCTAACTATTACAAGGGAATGAAATACTCAGTGCATTTTCCTTTGATAGACAAGAAAAAAACACAAAGTAAAATGTTAGTTCCTAAACTCCTTGTGTTCTATTAACATGCAATTTTAACTTTAAATTTGACACTTTTGTTTTACACAATGGAATTATCACTCACATTCTAATCTTATTTTAAAGAGGAAGTGGGGTTTGGAGGAGGTTAAATTCCAAAAATCAATTGTCTGGAATGTTTCAGTGATGAGAAACTGAAGACATTTTCAAAATAATTCAAATATGTAACAAAAATTTTTGAGCTGACAATTAAAGAGAAACTTCTGCCCTGTGCCCTGTGGCTGTTAAGAAGGCAAACAGATGACAGAAAACCTCATCACAAGGAGAACTTCTGCTTTTGTAACCATTAAACCATTACCCCTTGGAACACGAAGCAAGTTTATTTAAGAAAAAGAAAAGAAAGAAATAGAAGAAAAGAAAAAGTGGAAAAACTAATGCCAGCTGGCATGTCTAAAAGTAGGCCAGAATAGAAGGAGAAATACTTCTGGCCAAAATGAAGCAAATTAAAATCTAAGAGATTTAATATAGTCATTCTCCCCTTTGATCACACTGCCAACCATCAAGGTGATCATGAAACACACACTCTTCTTTCAAATTCAAAGTCATAGAATGCAAATTGTTTTTCAACTGGTATATTCATAATATCTACAAAGATTACTCAGATATTATAATTTAGTGCTATTTCAAAGCATTTTATAAATATCTAGGTATGGAAAAAACATTTGAAAGAACTTTCGTTTTTTAATGTAGAGCATAAGCCAGAACATTTAAACTAACTCAATTAGTTCTGATTACCCAAAGTAAGGCTGTTCTTTCCCTCCCTTTATTTTTTTTTTAAGTCCCACACATAACATCATAAGATTCCATCACTAAAACATTATTTTAATGTGATCATAATTATTCAAACACTAAAGTCAATCTATTTAAATCAAGGGGTTAAAAAGGGTCCTTACTGCAAAATCTTCCCTCCACTGATGGGCTGCTTGAACTTTCTCTGCTTCCAAAGCCAGGCGCTGAAAAAGAAACAGTAAATCTTAGAATTTAAGTGACCACATGAACATGTAATTATTACATAAAGTGCTTAGGTTGTCTAATCAATTACGAGGACATAATAGCAGAGGAGACTCCTTGTTTGTGATTCATAAATTCTAAATCATTTAGCAATCTAACCTATTAAAGTTGATATATTTACTATTTAGTGATAAATAACAAAACTATTCCTAAATGCCATCCAGTTTACTATATCTGCTGTCATCAGCAGTAGTGTCCTCTACAAGTGCTTTTTTTTTCAATGACTTACCATCTCCATTTGCTAAAAACTATCAAGATAGGATATTAATTTTGCTAGAAAATTGTTGACACTTCAAGCCTCTAATTAAGTTCTGTTCCAGTCAAGTGACATTTTTATTTTTATTTTTTTTAAGTGACATTTTTAAAGTCAATGAGCTACTATTAAGGACCATAGGTAAGCTATACTAAGACTAATAAAATTCCTATCTAATAAAATGTGAATTGCTTGGTACAGCATGCCATTTTCATACTAGGCTATAAAAGTATATCCTGTAACAATAAAGTATGCAGCAGGAAATGTTTCTTTCACTTAACTGTAGCACAGTACAACAGAGTATCAAACATGAAAACCAGACTGAACACTGGACAGAAACAAAAAACCTGGCTCACTCAGCATGGATCACAGAGAGAGTGAAAGCTTAATTCTGCTTACATCATGAGAAATCAGCGGTTCATTAGCTTTATTGTAAATGAGATCATACATGTTTACATGAAGTTCCTTTAGGTATAGATGATAAATATATGTATAATTATAATAGATAACACGTGCAAACCAATTGTTTTGAACATTTAAAAATTTTAAAAATCATTTAAATATGTTAAAAATTCATTTTTATGAAAACTAAATAGATTTTAAGGATTCTGACTGCAAAGTTTGTGCTCATTCCACAAAACCACTCTTGGGTTTCTCACCCAGTCCATCAAAAGTGGCATCAGCAGACATTCAATGTACATATCAAGACATAGCAGTAGTATCAAAACCAGAACACTGGTAGAGATCCATGATTATTTAGTAATTGATAAATAGGAAAATAAAAATAAGCACCAAAAAATATTGTGCAGTGTGTTAGTCTGGAAAGTGTTTTTAGAAAGGTCTTGTCCTGGAATCCTGAGAGACTATTGCTTTTCAGTTAAAAAAAAAAAAAAAAGCTTTTGATATGCAGTGGTTTGCAGAAGAAAGAAAACACAAGGGAAGCAAGCTTATCAGATGAGAGAAAGATCAACTCCCTTGAAGGCTTTGCATTCTCAACCTTCATTTTGTCTCACATGATCATCTTTTCTTCCAGCATTGAATTCTGTCAGGTGACATGAAAGTCTACTAAAAAGTATAATTATAAAGTATATAAAGATTCAATTCTATCATTCTAATTCAATGACACCAAATACATTTTTTTCTTAGAAATAGACTATTTAAACAAAAATTTCTGAGGAAATAATTTGCCTCCTACTTTGTAGATTAATTATTATTTAAAGGATGTTTTTAAGTTTTATGAAATATTTCATTAAGAGGAATTTTCCTTTGATAGATTTGAAAGAAAACTATCAGGAATCATGATAGTTCCCTGAGACTCAAATAATGTTGAGACTCATATTTAAATATCAAATATTTACTTAGAGACATAATTTAAACATTCCAAAACAATTTCTTGGGCTACCCTATAACAAGAATTTTATTTTTTAATAAAGGGGTAATAGATAAGAACAGACTAATCCAAGTAAAATATGCATGTGTTATGTGATTAATGTTCAAACAGTTAACACCCAATAAGGATTAGCAAATTATTATATTACTCCTATGTTGACAATCTAATTATCATCCTAATGAGTTTTAGCTATCTTCATCAAAAGGTTATTAACATATCAAAAGGATCATGATACTCATTTAAATGGCCTAACAATACCTATTGAAAGTAGCAGACTTAGGTGAATGAACAGACTTTTATGTGTTCTGAAGAAAAGTGTATAGGTACCATAATTAACGTGGAGCTATGGTATAATGAACAGGAACTTCTCAATCACATAGAAATGATATCCAATCCTAATGTTGCCTTTCACTAACAATGGAATTTTAGGCAAATATTTTAACTGTGATCAGCTGCTAGGAAATTTATCAACTTTATATATATTCTATTTGATATTCTAAAAATATGGTATATTATCAAATCCATAAAGTTCTGCTTCCATTTGAATTGCATAAACGTGACTCCATAGAATGTCACTATAGTCACTAATAACCACCTCAACATGTAAATAATACCACTGAAATGAATGAGGACCCTTAGTAGTCCCTAAATTCTACTGTATTTCACCCTACAGAAAAGTTCCTATCTATAGAACCATATGGAGGTAAAACATGCAGCTCTGGGGAATAGTTTAACATGGCAGTCAATGTGCATTCAATTTTATTTCATTCTGTTTTTACCATAAATGACATAAAAGGAGATAGATCTTTGTGCTCTGCTTTCTGGCCTCACTTCCCAAAGGGAATAGAGAAGGAGATAGTGAGGTGTGACATTTCTTCATTCTTTCTTATGCTGACAAGGAGTTCTTGAAGACCTGAATAGACAGGGCATTACAGACCTCTATGAATATTTAGTGTCATATTTCATCTCAAAGGAGATGCTCTTCTCTTTCCAATAACCTTAAAGAATTCAGTTCATTTAAATTCATACAAATATACAGGTCCAGAATTCTTCTTAAGCCTTCTAGCCATTTATGTATCCTAATGAACAAGGATTTTACTATGTAAAATTAGTGTAGAAAAATAGTTCTATTTTTAATCCTATCTGTTTAGTTCATTTTGCTTTAAATATTTCTATAAAGAAATATTACTGGAACCTTGAAAAAGCTCAATTGGACTAAACAAGCCAGGTTGGATATTGGAACTTGAAGTTAAAAAGTTACAAAATGTAAAACTACCCAGTATGACTTAACTTCAGCACATTCCAACATTTAATAATTGTAATAACTAGAGAAATAAATAAATACACATTCCATGTTGGAGGAAAAATATCTTAAGAAACAGTGTGGCCAGGTGAGGTGGTAGGAGACTGTAGTCCCAGCTACTCCCAAGGACAGGGTCAGGGTGAGGAGATCATAAGTTTGAGGCCAGCCTGGGCAATACAACCTGACCCTGTCTCAACAACAAATATATAGAGCAGGTATGTACTTGTGTTCTTTAAACCTTTACTCAGGGTGTGCTGTATGAAACTGTATAAAGAGTAAAATACAGAACCACAGTTCCTGCTTCTAAAGCAAATGAACCATCTACTATTTCTTCTTCTCTCTTGCTCACTCTCACCATCACACATGCACACACCCCTTGTGTTATTTGATAGATGCTGTCTGAATGGGTACAATACACTTGATTGGTTAGTTTGACTTTATTTCAGTGGCTGTTCTACATGGAGAATAAAATGTTTAAAGCACTGCCTTTTATCCAGGCTGTAAATATGAAGTGTTGCTTGCTGAAAGCCATAGCCAAGTAGGAATGATGCATGGCATTTTGGGTTGAAAGGTGACCCTGCTCAGGGATTAGGGCAGCTCCAGGTTTAGGGTGGATCCTGCTGGGAATAGGGCAGCTCCAGGATTAGGGCGTATCCTGCTGCCTCAGGTGCCCACTCCTTTGGAGTTCCCCTTGAGTTCTCTAGGGGTTCTGAGAGTATTGGTATGCAGAGCCCGGTGGAGGGAGTGTATTTTCCCAGAATGTGCGTGTAGAGTGTCTGTGAGAGTTTGGGAATAAAGAGTTGCTGTTTGAATCTACAAGGCTTTGTGGTGGCTCGGTTATTTTGTGCCCAGCCAGACTGCGGCAGTTGCTAACCAAAGATAAGATTTAGTCACAGGTCATTTTTGAAGGGGGTTACTGAAAATACTGAAAAGCATAGAAACCAATTGTCTGAAAACTGCCACCCAGAAATCACTTTTATTATTCTTTATATTTGATCGATAACTTCTTGTGAAAAATAAATATTTTTTAAATATTTGAAATAATTATTTATAATATTATTTATTTATTATTATTATTTACAATAATATTTGTAATATTATTAAATATTAAGAATATTTCAAATCACTTTGAAGTTCCTGTTCATCACCTCCTTGAACAATTCCCCAGCCCCCAGGAATCATTGCAATGAAGTAATTGGTATCAATATGTGGCACTGTTTGGAATGTTGTTTTTTTTTTAATAGGTAAATGTTATCAGATATTGATATTGTCAATTCTTCTTCCTAGTAGGCTGCAAGCAGGTTGAATGCCAAAGAGAAGTTCCACTGGCTTCTTGAGGGGAATGAGTTTTCTAAGGAGAACCCATCACCCTTTCAAGTGACAGTTTAGATTAAATAAGAGAATCATTTTAGATCAATGATGTATAAGAAGGTTTTCTGAGGGATTTGGAAAGAAAAATAATGTCTGGAGGAGGGCAGTGCCCTTCAGGGAAACTACATTGAAGCCATCTTGAGACCCTTTTCAGCACCAAAATTCTACGTCTCTATAGAATCTTTTTCATCAGAACACAGAACAGGCCTCATTTGTAAACACAGGCCTGTCTATTCTCTCAAGAGATCAGCATGCTTTCCACTCAGACATTACTCATGCTGTCTAAATTATCCTGAATCATCCTGTCAGCAATGTTTAACAAGATGTGGCATTGCCCTCTTTCTCTGGCACTGGAGGTTAGCTGTGCACCTCAAACAAAGATGACCAAAGCTGCTGTGTTACTCATGTTTGCCCAAACTATGCTTTTGCAGACCTTCTGATTTGTTTAATGGCATGAAATACAAGTACATAATCATAATCATCATTTTTGCAATTTCCCAATTTTATTCTTGGCAGGACAATCCCATATTGATTTCAAGTTATAAAAAGTATTTCAATATAATCCAATTTTAATTTAGAAAAAATATATTCAAATATTGAGCAATTCTACTGAATCCTGATAAAA